TCATCTGCTTCAATGACCATAAAAATAATAAAACATTACCAACATGTGTACATTACCTCAGGGAACCCATGTATACACATGTGTCTCCTTTAGCAACATAATGGATCCTGATATTTGATGCTGTTCTCAGGAAATGGTGTTCACCAAGCTCAGGATCAAGAAGGCATGCAGGAGCTATAGAGAAATGAAAACATCAACTCTTTAACAGTCAAGCCAGGTCAAGCATATAACTCCCATGAAGATTTCATTAATGAATAATTACAAATATAATAATAATAATAATAATAATAATAGTAAACTCTAATTAAGTGTCAGGTATTTCAACTATGAAGCTAATTGAGGAACCTATGAAATAATAAGATATATATGTATGGGAATAAAATCAAATATTTACAGTTTAAAGAAAAAAAAAATTAATTAATTAATCACATACACAAAGCAAGAATGTTCAAAGCAGAATCCTTTAGCAGTTGTTAAACTTCAGATTCATTGATAAGGCGTAGCCTATATGACAGGGGTTTGTGGTCTCAAAAACAGTCAGTAAAACTCATCCAGCTGACGGGTCTTTTCCTTTATATGGTTCTTCAAATAATAGAAGAAAGCAAATAAACTGCTTTCTTTTATTCTCCTTTCAAGCTGAAATTGATGCCTTCAGTTTCTAATTCTAACAATGAATTCATTACAATTCACTAACAACATATTTTTAAATGATTACTGAAAGATCAGTGGTGATGTTAATTTCAACCAATCAGATTAAGTATCCAAGGCCATAATTGACATGTTTTGAAAACTGACCTATTAGGATTTTAACATTTGTCTGGTGGATGTTTATAACATGAAAATAATGGCCTCCTTGCAGGCCTTTCCCACCCTCCCTCCTCCTCACCCCCCCCCCGCCCCCCCTTCGCATTTCTCTCCCGCCCAAAATCCCTTTTCCCTTCAAACAACTGCCACGCAGTAGTGTGGTATTTGAACACTGCATTGACCAGGCCTATCTTAAAGTGGAGAGTTTACGGTAATGCGCATGTGCATCGTGACAGCTTCCAGAATAAAACATACAGGCCAACACTAAATACGAAGAAGACATCAACTGCGAATCCAAGGAATCCAGGAATCTGCCTATAAATCCGCTCATCCATAGCTCTACATAAGCATGTGAAGTCTGCTATTTCTAAAGTACTCGTGAGTGTTGTTTTGCTTTCAGAATCAATTTTGTGAATGGAGTCTCAGAAGCGACGTCACAGGCACCCAACAACAGGACGTTCTCAAGAGTCTTTGGAGATAAAGAAGCTTAGCTGATCTATCTGTTCATTTGCTGATAAGCAATTGAAATTTAAGCTCAATTTAGGATAATCTTTATACTCATATGCTGTGTGTTTTTGTCATTGGTCAGGTGCTATTTGCAGGTATTTCTAGATTTATATAGGGCAAACAGAGAGATCAGTAATAAAAGGTTTCTTGGAAAAGGTGGAAAAAGGCAAGGAAAATGCGCGTTAAAAATTTTTAATTAATTATTATTTAGGTTTGTTTACAAATTTTGTTTGCCAATTGGTGACTGCTTTGTTAGCATGGGTATGTAAAAGACCTCATAAAAATGTACGTAGGTAAATGTTTGTTTCAGAGCAGGACAGGGCTGTAAATCTTACTCTTACCGGCTGCAACACATATCTGAGGAATAGCAAAAAATAGGAATTATGGGAACATATAAAATCGAACCAAATGTCCAGAAAAACTCCTGCGTAAATTTCCCTGCGTGCATCCAACTCGCTTCCGATTGGTTTAAAAACAATCAGGTACTGTCAGACTCACACATGCACAATACCGTGAACCTGTCCCTTTAAAAAGTTCAAATGCCCCAGAGGCTACCCAGGCAGGGGGGTGTTGGATGGTGAAGTTTCAAATTGATTGGTTCGTTATCCTGCAATAGCAGAAGTCACTGTACAAATACAGGGAATAACATTTCACGGTTACGCATCTCACAACAGTAAAAAAGTATTTCACTTGTGTTTACTTGTTCGATTTGTTTATTCACATGGGGTCCTTCATAGCAGTTCTTTGGACGGTGAATGAATCGAAAACAAAGAATGGTATTAAAAATATGAAATAACCGTTAACTAATCATCACAGAGAAAAATAATGACATGGGTTTTTTATGGTCATTACGAAAACCAGTTTGTAGTCGCCCAAAATGAGCTTGCATACATAAGCTTATTAAAGCTTAGCTAACATTAACAGTGCGCTTTCTTCTCTACATGACGCTTTAAAAATAGTATGCTCTGGATGGGGAAGCAATTTTGTCAGCTTTCTCATTAATTGATGTAAAGCTAATGTTTCGAAGAGTCCCTGCTGTAGTGAGCACTATCAAACGCAAAAAGATGACCCAATTAACTAAAGATACAAAGCACAACAGACAAGATGAATCGACCAGGCCAAGTTGCACCGGTGCAAATTTACCGATCGTTACTTACGTTTTTCTCGTCGCTTTCCTCTTCTCGGTATTTCAAGGTTCCTAATAGCACTCAACAATAGGAAAAAACACACCATAAAGCCATAAAACAAAGCCAAACTGTATACGAACAGAGCCCTAATCACTTGGTTCGCCATCATGTACCGACAACGACCGACCAAGGTACACCGAGCCGAAGTCAGGACTTTGGTCACCCAAGGTCACTCATCTTCAGGTGCTTGTTAGCAGGGGAGGGGCGGGGAAAGCGGAGCGAAAAGACCGAACACTGGAGCCTGATACCCTGCCGAATATCTTTCGTTCAACATTTGTTCCGCTCATGAATTGATGTTTAAAGCGGCGAGGGTACAAAAGCATTTGGGCGTTGGTGTGTGGGGGGCACATTTATCCCGGATGGCAAAAAGCCTGGAGGTACGTAAACGTTTTCACTTCTGAGAACCAAGAAGATTGCCCCATTAACTTGCACTCAAAGACCATTCTAACAAACTTAAAATGCCGGGAAGAAATATTCTTTAAACTGTGTTTTAAAAAGAGAGCTATTGTGACCCCGGGGAGTGGGGATACTCCCTATATAATGGCCCCATACGGGGCCGGGGGCCCTAAATGGCTACCTTCAGGTATATGAAAAAGTACAGGGATTTCACTAGTTGAAGTATATGAAAGAGTAGGGAAATCTGTTATTTTGGTCTGTAAAAAGGCCCAAAAGGGCTAAAAGATAAATTTATGACGTTAAAAAGTCCAAAAAAAGTTCTGATTTTGCAGTGATTGATTCCTTTTAAAAGACATTGCATTCACAGCAGTTAAAAGGGATGAAAAGTTCTAATAAACTTGGTAAAAGAAAGGGGTACCATTTGTCAATACAAGGTAAATGAAAAGGGAACCTTTTTCGTGAAAAATGGTTTATTAAAGGGCAAGAGGTTAGAGCTCGGGGCGGGATCCCCGTATAAAACTTGTTGAGTAGCAGCCCCTCCCGCTGGGATTGTGCCAGCTTTTTGGAAACCATGCTGAATTTACTATTGTAAAGGGAGAGCCAATTTTAATAGTGGAGAATTCTTACGAGTTATTTTTTTTTTCTTTTCAAACAACACTGTGGAAAGACCTGGGGTAGATATTATTTAGGGATTCCAGGGATTCTAGGTTTGTTCCCTGACAGGTCCCTGACATGTTTTTTTTTCGTTTTTTTCGTTTTTTCTTCACATTTACGGTTAGCGAACGTACCAGAATGTTTGTACTGTGGGTGAAAAGTGAAGTATTCTTCATTCATTATAAAATACTGTAGATACATAAATAGAAAGTAAAGGTGATATTACACGGGACGATTCGCAACGACGAGTTTTAGCGCAACAAAGCGTAGCAATGTTGGAACAATGTTGCAACCATTCAAAATAATGTCGCAACAATGATGTAATGCTGAGTTGCGCTAAAAATCGTCGTTGGCAATCGTTCCGTGTAACATCGCCTTAACTATGGTGGGATCGACAAAATTTCATTTGCCCAAAAGTGACTAAGATAGGGTCTATTATTGGCCACAGTTATTATTGGCCACTGCCGTTTTTTCCGACTCAACTGACCGCCCCTGGGTATCCGAGGATAGTCTCCAGTTGGAGCCAAAATAGTGTCCCCAATTAGTACTTAATTCGCGCTAAATGCTTTGACACTCATGCATATAAAGTGAATTTTTTTTCTTGCTGACCATGAGAGTTATGAACGCACTTCCTAAAAACTAAACCCACGAGGTTCTAACTTAAACCAAAACAGGAACTCTGATGTTGGTAACAAACATAGTCAGCTATAACCCAAAAACGTGCTCACTTCAAGGACTGACACTCAAATTTAATAAATGACACTATTATGTTACAAAAAAAGCCCTTATAAGGTAATAAAATTCCAAAACCTGTCAATACAATTACGGATTAACCTTGATATACAAACCTAATTATAACGAGACTCTTGCTAGGCACGAGTGAATCTTCAAGTGCAAACATAAAATCAGCTAAGTAAATATCACATGACAAAAATCTTCATAACAACCTAGAAAATTCTTCACAACATTATATATAGTGGACAGTCCCTTGCGCACCTATAAGACCTCATGTTGAAAATTGTGTGGTCTTAAGTTTACAATAAGAAATTATTAAATCTATTAAGCAAATGCAGTTTTAACTGAACAACTTCAACAACATACTAACAAAAACTGAAAGCTTAACTAAACATTTACAGGGGCGTCTGGAAAATTCAGAACGTTGGGGGAGGGGGAGGATCTGCTGGACACTTGCAAGCTATATATTACTGAGATTTCTTCAAGAAAAAATTGCAAATTTTCACAGAAAAAAGTTGCGGGGCGCGATCTCCTCAGACCACCCCTAAATCCAACCCATGCTTTATTTACATTGAAACATTATCCTTTTCCATCATTTACGTGCTGTTAAAAATCCAGTTTGGCAATTCACAGGAAAGGTTTGACAATTTGACGTATCCAGCAATGTCAACGTGGAAGGGAAATCTTTTTCTGTTTGTTTATCATTTCCCGGTAATTACTACAAAGTGGATTTTGCATGTGCTACCTTAAAAATATTCTCCAGAAATGATATGCACGCAGATCTAAGCTCTGTTATCTCAGTGAAAGATAAAGATTCCCTTTGATGGCCTTCTGCTCTTATACAAGAGAGAACTCTTGAGCAAAAATTCATACTATAAAAGGCTACCAAAACTCTAATTTTCCTAATTAAAAAGATGAATGTGAATATTGATTATTGACATCTACAAAGTCGACAGCAACTTTCAGACTTCTCCTTTCTCTTCTTGGCACCTTTACAAAAACAAAAAAGGCATCATATAGGAGCTAAAACTACCCAATATTTGTTGCCCTTATATCTCATAACGCGCTTAGCACCGCTGAAGCCAGCGGAAAGAAAGTAAAAGAGGGGCATAAAGAGAACTGACAAAGCACAGTAGAGGCAGAAAAGACAAAGACAGGTAGGTGATGCAACTGGGACACTGTAGCCTGTGTATAGCTAACCACTCCCTTTAAACAAATTAGGGAGCTTAAGCAAAGGCGTTTATGAGCGACGCATATCAACCGGAAGTGAACTTTTTGCCGTTCATGGGCAGTGGTTGCGCCCAAATTTTCGGCCAGATCGTCTCTGTCAGAGAAAAGAAATTTAGCAATACAAATTTTTCATAAGCATCAAGGCATATTAAAAGAGAAAAGGCCTCACTTCCGATTGACGTGCGTTGCTCAAAAACGTCTTTGCTTATTAAGGTGGCTCGACTGGATTTTTTGGGGTTGATACCTCCCCAGTTTGAGCATTAACTACGTCGGCATGAGTAAAGATATGGAAAAAAGGTTGCCACAACTGTATTATATAAAGATGAAAATTTCTTATGATCTGGGTTTTATTGCAATCAGAGTCGCCATGGCAACGTAATGACGCCATCACGTTTTTCATTTTTCTTTGTGTTTCTCTGTTCCAGGAGTTTTTTTGAAGAAATCGCTTTAGGGAGTATGTACCTGCTATAATTGCCTCCATTATGGCAAAGTTTGAACAAATTCTATGAGAGCGTTTTCGAAATATTTTGAAATGTAGTTTTAAGAATAATAAAAACAGTGAAATAGCATGCTACCTACACAATTCGCTAATATTTTAAGAAAATGATAAGCTTTGGGAACGAGGTTTCATCTCATAGTGGTTTGATTCCATTGAAAACTGTATACGAAAAAAGAGGGGAATTGCTCTGGGCGATCGCGAGTAAGAAGAATTTTATTAACTTGCATTTAGCTGCTTTTGATACAGTTTTTGGACGTAATTTGGTCCATGCCTAAAAATTTCGCATTTTTCCAAACACCGCTCGATAAGTTTTTTTATAAATTCGACCATCCCGAGATCAATCGTCAGGAAATATTCCCTGCAAGTTTTAAGAACATTGAAAACAGGGAAGGCTTTTAAATAGGGCCTCAATATAGCCAATTTTCCCCCCAGATTTTGTGTTTACAAGTGAGCGTCCTCATTATTCACTGGCATTGTTTTCAAGTTTCATATACACGTGCACATTTAGCAAAAAGATAGAATTTGCATCAAAAAGGACCCTCGGTTAAATCTCTGGGATATGCTAATTACCGGGTAAAGAGATTAATGATACATTATAACATCACAGCAACTCTTTGTGAGAGTTTCTGCGATGTTATAACCCGAGTAAGATAATTAAGTATTCCATCCTACACGATGAGCTGTGACGTTCACCGTTTCGGCTCTCACTGCTATCTGTGACGACAAGCCAGTATTAGCATATTCCGGATATTTCTTCAGAAAGTAATCGAGAGTTCTTTTTGATGCAAATTTATATCTTTTGCTAGTTGTGCACGTGCATATGAAACTTGAAAACAATGCCAGTGAATAATGAGGACGCTCACTTGTAAACACAAAATCTGGGGGGAAAATTGGTTATATTTGAGGCCCTATTTAAAAGCCTTCGCTATTTTCAATGTTCTTGAAACTTGCAGGAAATATTTCTTGACGATTGATCTCGGGATGGTCGAATTTATAAAAAAACTTATCGAGTGGTTTTGGGAAAAATGCGAAAGTTTTAGGCATGGACCAAATTACGTCCAAAAACTGTATCAAAAGCAGCTGAATGCAAGTTAATAAAATTCTTCTTACTCGCGATCGCCAAGAGCAATTCCCCTCTTTTTTCGTATACAGTTTTCAATGGAATCAAACCACTATGAGATGAAGCCTCGTTCCCAAAGCTTATCATTTTCTTAAAATATTAGCGAATTGTGTAGATAGCATGCTATTTCATTGTTTTTATTATTCTTAAAACTACATTTCAAAATATTTCGAAAACGCTCTCACAGAATTTGTTCAAACTATGCCATAATGGAGGCAATTATAGCAGGTACATACTCCCTAAAGCGATTTCTTCAAAAAACTCCTGGAACAGAGAAACACAAAGAAAAATGAAAAACGTGATGGCGTCATTACGTTGCCATGGCGACTCTGATTGCAATAAAATCCAGATCATAAGAAATTTTCATCTTTATATAATACAGTTGTGGTAACCTTTTTTCCATATCTTTACTCATGCCGACGTAGTTAATGCTCAAAGTTGGGAGGTATCAACCCCAAAAAATCCAGTCGAGCCACCTTAAGCTCCATAATGTTTGAGGGGAAGGGGGTGGCTAAAAACAGGCTAAATCACAGAAACAGCAGCAGACAAAGACAGATATTGGGGATCAAGGGATCAAAATATCTTACCATCCAAATTTGCAGTGCTGTCAGTTCTGTGATCCTCTTCCTGTGAATCCAGGTAACCATCTTCCTCAGATGACACATCACAATCATCATCTGAACCTTTCTTAGCTTTCTGCTGCTTTTTTTGTCCAACATTGTGTTTGTCTCTCTTAGCTCTTTTGTCTGTGAAAGGAACGAGTAGTTCAGCTTCTAATGCACGAAGAAAGTCAAACGTTGACCATTGCATATCCTATTTATGCGACCTTAAACATGTGCGGGCCTATAGGGAAGCAACTCTACACTCTCTGTGTATGACCGATTCTCCCAAGGTGAAATTGCCTCGGGGAAATTTCCATGGGTACATCAATCCGAATAAATTAACTACCCATAACAGTTTCCAAAGTAAGTTCTACAAAGTATAAGAACCTAAAGAGGCTCAACCAATCACCAGGGATTGAAACGTACCAAAAGAAACAATGAGCCAGATAATGCAATACATGTGTTTGTGATGAAAATGATAATAACAAAATAATGATGATGATGATGATGTTGGTGGTGGTGATGATGATGACGATGATAAGAGAATCAAAGAGGTACTGTGGTCAATTGTAAACTTGCAAAGACAGCAGTGACATACATACATACATACAGAGACAGATATTGGGGATTAAAGAGTCAAAATATCTGAACCTTTCTTAGCCTTCTTCTGCATTTTTTGTCCAACATTGTGCTTGTCTCTCTTAGCTCTTTTGTCCGTGAAAGGAACGAGTAGTTCAGCTTCTAATGCAGAAGATACAAGGAAAGTCAAACGTTTACCATTACATATCTTTTTTATGCGACCTAATATAGTTTCGCCTATACTACCCATTTTACCTATGGGCAAATGGCTGTTGCCCTTCGGGGAAGCAACTTTTTGTGTGTGACCGATTTTCTCAAGGTGAAATTGCCTCGGGGAAATTTCCATGGATACATCAATATGAATAAAAGAATAACCCATGACAGTTCCCGAGGTAAGTTCTATTGGTTAATAAGAACCTAAAACGGCTCAACCAATCACGAGAGATTGAAACTTACCAAAAAGTAGAAATCACGTGTTGTTTACGTGCCGAGTTCGTCTTAGCGCCAAGTCTTACGCGAAACTGGAGTCAATGTTCGAAACCTCAGCAGGATTTTGAGCGCTGATGTTAATGTTCTTCTGTATTTTACACTTAATAAATTCAAAAACACCTTGAAGCATTCGTAAGTTTTCTTCACATGTGTTCAAGAATTATTTCCTTATAAAGTCGTTGCAAACACTTTTGTAAGTCCGTACTTTTGACTTCTGGCCCCGGTTCCTGAAAAGCCGATTAATCTATCTTCCGATTAGCAGTTAATCCACGATTAAATTTCTTATTCCCCGGATAACTAATCGTGGGTTAAAAAGTTGTTCCTGAAAGCGAAATTATCCCGCCAAAAAAAACGGTTTAACGAGTTTTCCGACCGCCTGCTTCTAAAAAAATATAGCGCAAAAAACTTATTCCGCGTTTAGCGATATTTAAACCTGGATTAGCGATAATCGGCTTTCCAGGAACCGGGGCCCGGTTGCATAAAACCTACACTTAAGTGCCCACTTAAGTAGGTCACTTACGAATCCGTTATGGGTACACTTAAGGGTGTTGCATGGAACGCACTTAGCACTCTCGTAATTTTCTGTTTTACGTGGTAACTTACGGGCTCACTTAAGGGCACACGTAACCTTGATATAGTACTTTATTAATGACTCACTCTTTTTTTTTTTAGCTAACCATCGGTGAGTGTAAAGAAATTTTTAAGTCGTTTCGAACACGTTTAAGCCTCTCAAAAAAATGAAATTTGCATGCAATCGTTATTTTTCTTCAATGTCTACTGGAAATGATAATTCTTCTTCTTTTTTCACAAAGTCGGCTTTAAAGTGCAGATAAAAGGTTAACAAAGCGCATTACTACGAATTACGTGAGGAAAAATTACTTTTTTTCACTCTCAGTAAAAGATCTTGTTAAATTTAGTAAAAACAGTAACGATACGGGACCTACATAGGTCCCGTAAATTTACGTGCTATTTTTCCCGTAAAAAAAGTTTTATGCAACACCCGCAATTTCTGTTGCATAAACGACACTTAAGTGAACACTTACGAAAATCGTAAGTGCAACCACTTGAGTGAATTCCCTAAGTGGCCCACTAAAGTGATTTCATGCAACTGACTTAAGTTACGAGTGCACGTACGTATACCCGTAGTTGTTACGGACGTTTTATGCAACCGGGCCCGGGGCCTGAGCGAGAATTTGCCTTTCTTTAAGAAAAATGAAGTCAACGTCTTCCTTTTTAGTCTCAAAATTAAAGGCTGAATCGCTCTTGCTAAGCTTAACCCTCGGACGTACACGCAAAGTCATACCCCCCACCTCCGCCCTTGCGTTTTCGATATGTTGCAGTATTTCGCAGCGATTTTCCCTTCAGTGGAAAGCCTTTGAGACGTCACCAAAAATGGTCGCCGTCTTGGCCGCCATCTTGGATTTTATCAATAATTAGAAATCAGTTAAAAACAGCGAGATTTAATACTTTTTTGCACATAACATTTAAAATAACGCATAAATAATTATTAAGCTTTACTTTTATTCTTAAAAGAAGTTGAAAAAACAAGCATTTTCACTCAAAAATGGCTTGACCACCTGCTACTTATGACGTCATATCTCGTAACCATAGAAACTGACCATCACTAAACTTGTCTCAAAATGCGTGCGAGGGATAAAAGAACAGCTAGAGAAAACTTCAGGTGCTGATGTTTTATCTTCTAGGAAAAAAAACCAGAAAACCCTTAGGCGGGATGTGACAGCCATCCCCCCACTTGCACGTCAGAGGGTTAATTGATGTTGAGCGGGTTTTATTCTTGATACGATTATGTGAGCCTTTAATGTTTACAACCACGTTTCCCTCAAAACTGGGCTCAATTTTTTTCTTCCCTTTGGGCAATTCATCACTGTGTAACCGCAAACATGAAAGTGATCAATTACCCAGTGTGAACCCAACCCAAACTATTTCCCCAAGGGGAGCTTTGGGGGGAAAAGATCTAGTGTAACCGCACTATATGTTTGGTATCTCCGATCAGTGGAACACCTAGTTCATTTTGAACTCGTTTATTTTAAGTAGATAAAACGTTTTTTTCTACAGCCTGGGCTGACCATAAACGGCAAACAGGAGCGCCTGGTGGCATGCTTTACCTTCGAATTCCTTACTACTGCCTTTATCATCATCCTCATCGTCATCATCTTCTTTCTTGGATTGTGATAAATGCCTTTCAGTTTCATGAGTAATCTGCAAGGACTAAGAGATTTTTTTCATTAGAAGAAACTTGAAGATACAGAAGGCAGGAATAGAGTGTAAACAGAAACTGTTACAGTCAAACCTGAATTAAGAGGTGTTTTACCAGCGTCCCAAATATCGATTCCATAATTAGTATAGGTAAAACGTTTTTGAGTTTATCAAATTGAAATTATTAATAAAGAATATTTGAATTTCATATACTGGAACTGCGGAAGAAATGATGCAAAGAAGATCCTCGAAGTTTAAGACGCAACCATCGAAAAAACTGCTACTATCGAAAAAACCCTAAAAATTTCAGCCTTTTAGATTTTAACAAATTGCAAAGACACAATACCAAAGCGATAAACCTTCAAGACTGCGTAAAATCTTTCTATAAGAAATATAATTTTCATAATAGAGTTTTTTGCGTCTGTTACCAGTCCTAACCTTATTTGGTGCTTTGTTACGCCGGTCGTTGTCTACTCTGATGGCCAGAGCAAATTTCTGATACTGCATGGCCTGCTCAATATCACCAAAATGCTTGTAAATCAAAGCTAGGTTATCGCAGCTCTTTGCAACATTAACATGTTTCGGGCCGAGCTTGTCCAGTTCGATGTATAGAGCACGTTGCTGATACTCCTTGGCTTGCTCAAACGCACCTAATTTCTTGTAAATTGAAGCTAAATTCGTGTAGCTCGTTGCTACATCAACATGTTTCGGGCCGAGCGTCTCCAGATTGATGTCTAGAGCACGTTGCTGATACTCCTTGGCTTGCTCAAAGGCACCTAATTCCTTGTAAATAGAAGCTAAAATCGTGTAGCTTGTTGCAACGTTAACATGTTCCGGGCCGAACTTCTTCAGATCGATTTCTAGAGCACGTTGCTGATACTCCTTTGCTTGCTCGAAGTCACCTAATTTCTTGTAGATTAAAGCTAAGTTATTATAGCTTGTTGCAACATTAACATGTTCCGGGCCGAGCTTGTCCAGATTGATGTCTAGAGCACGTTGATGATACTCCTTTGCTTGCTCGAAGTCACCTAATTTCTTGTGAATCAAAGCTAAGTTATTGTAGTTTGTTGCAACATCAACATGTTTCGGGCCCAGCTTCTCCAGTGTGATGGCTAATGCATGTTCTTGATACTCCTTGGCTTGATTGAGGTCACCTAAATCATGGTAAATCAAAGCTAAGTTATTGTAGCTTCTCGCAACATTAACATGTTCCGGGCCGAACTTATCCAGTTCGATGTTTAGAGCACGTTGCTGATACTCCTTGGCTTGCTCGAGGTCACCTAACTCTTGGTAAATTGAAGCTAAATTCCCGTAGCTTACTGCAACATCAACATGTTCCGGGCCCAGTTTCTCCAGTCTGATGTCTAGAGCACGTTCCTGATACTCCTTGGCTTGCTCGAGGTCACCTAAATCTTGGTAAATTGAAGCTAAATTCCCGTAGCTTACTGCAACATCAACATGTTCCGGGCCGAGTTTCTCCAGTTCGATGTCTAGAGCACGTTGCTGATACTCCTTGGCTTGCTCAAAGTCACCTAAATCCTGGTAAATTGAAGCTAAGTTATTGTAGCTTTTTGCAACAAGAACATGTTCCGGACCCAGTTTTTCCAGGTAAATGGCTATAGCACGTTCCTGGTACTCCTTGGCTTCCTCGAGTTCACCTAAATCCTTGTAAATCAAAGCTAAGTTATTGTAGCTTGTTGCAACATCAACATGTTCCGGGCCCAACTCCTCCAGTCTGATGGCTAAAGCACGTTCCTGATACCCCTTGGCTTGCTCGAGGTCACCTAAATCCTGGTAAATCAAAGCTAACTTATTGTAGCTTCTTGCAATATTAACATGTTCTGGGCCGAACTTGTCCAGTTCGATGTCTAGAGCGCGTTGCTGATACTCCTTGGCTTGCTCGAAGTCACCTAATTCCTGGCAAATTGAAGCTAAAGTCGCGTAGCTTACTGCAACATCAGCATGTCCCGGGCCGAGCTCTTGAAGCTTAAAAGTGTGTGAATATTCAAAATATGTTTTTGCTCCTTCGAATTCACAATGCATTTGACAAATATTTCCAAGGTTTTTGCATTTTTCGGAAATGTCCTTATCATGAACTGGAAAAAAATTATTTCGCAAAAACACTTTGTCAGTTACCATAATTAAAGCTTTCAAATGTGGAGCGATGTGTCTGGTGTTCAGCCTCTTATTCTCTGGTGCAGTGGCGCCGATAAATTCGTTGAATGATGTAATAACCCAACTAACGACCTCATCGGTTTGGCTTGCAACACACTCTTCTGTTACAGTTTTTAAAGCATCATGCACAACCTGGTGAAGTCGAATAAAACAGCCACCCTCGTCAGCTTGGAACAGCAGAAGTGAGCTTCTTTTTAATCTCATACGAATTAATTCTTTGTCCGCTTCTTGAAACTCTTCATGTGCGTTCATGATGTAACTAACTGCTATGTCGACGTTCAATGGTCGTGGAGCGCAGAGGGCAAGAAAAGTGAAAAGGTGTTTTTGAATTTTGTCGGATCTAATCAGTGTTTCCACGGCTAACGTTATTGCTTTGGTCATTGATTTTGGATAAATTGGATTGGTGCTGACAAGTGTATCCTCCGTTTTCTGTCTTTCGCCTTTTTCTAAGATCTTCAGATATTCCTCCCACCCAAAATACGTTGATACTTTGTCCTGCCGAATCTCTTTAACAAAGACGGCAGCGCCTGCTATAGCAAGAGGTTGATAGTCCAGTCGTTGTGCTACTGTTCCCACCAGTTCGCTATCTGGGATACCAGAAAGCTTGGACAATAATGAACAAGCGTCGCCGGGCTCCATACCTTTGCTTGCCGAGATGTGCTTCACAAAAGAACTTTCTGAGGGAATTGATGTTGTGTCCTGGGTCGTAATCAGCAACTGGCCACTTCCCCAAGCCTCGTTTTCAAACTGTGGTAAATGGACATGCACAGATGACATAGTGGTGACATTGTCAACCACCAGTAGCCACGACGTGTAACAGGTAATTTTTACAGCGACAAGCACCTTAAGACTAGCGATCTTTTCGTCCACGGTTGAGTCCTTCGAGCTGAGGGTTTTCACAACTGAATAGTCTGGGCACTTTAAATGGCGAGCAAATGAGGCATACGACTCCAGAAGTGAATCTCGACTTGCAGCATTTAAGGTCATTACAAATGAAGACCCACCTTGCATTTCTTTGAGGTCGACAAAGAATCTCTCAGCTACAAGGCCAGCTAGCTGTGATTTGCCGCTTCCAGGATTCCCTGAGATGTATAGATAACTCACCCTGTTGTCACTGGACTCATTTAGTTCCCTCAGCTGTTGGACTATGTTGGCTACTTCGCTTTCACGACCACCGATTTCATGCGAAGGTTTAGGAGGGAGAACACAAAATGAGGGTGCTTCATTCTGGAGCTGATCTTCAAGGACCTGGCGCTGACTCTCCTTTTCTTGAACTTCTTGTTTCAAATTATCCACTTCTTTTGTTGGAAAAGTTTTCTGATATCTTAGGTCTTGAATTTTTACTGTGGGAAGACTAAGCGCTTGAAACGCAACATCAACTTTGCTAATAGCATTCTTAAATTCTATTTCAGAGAGACTACCTTGCGGCATGTGAGCGAATTCTTCATTCCTGAAATTTCGTAGGTCATCTATATTTTTTCTGACGTTTGCGCTAAGACCTGGCCCGACGCAATCAGAGAAAAGGATAGCGTAAAAAAGCATTGTACAATCCCATTCCCCTCTGTTTCCGTTTTTCATGGTGTTCAAAAGATGAGCGTTTCTATTTTGATTTCGAGGAGACTCTCCACTATAAAAGTCCATTCCATTGCGAGGCTCGTCTTTCCATTCTCCTTTTGTTGTTTTGTACAGTTTGTCCCATTCTCGTTTAAATATTTCTCTCAGACCCTCCGCCAGTATATCAGTAGTTACATAACAAATTCTGTAAAAGTTCAGCTGTTCATCCGTATATTCGTTTGAAGAGGCCATATTTGATGTACATCTGATTCTTGGGAAAATTAATCCTGCTAAAAGCAAATTAGTTCAGAGGAAGAAAAATTATCAATAACGTAGATAACACGGTGTATGAAGCGAAAACATTGACTTCCCAACACAAGCATTTTTAGGGCATGACCAAGACCTAATCCGTAAAGATTTCATATCTTAAAAAAATTAAGGTATCCCCAAACCTGAAAACAATTTTTAAATCTTGATATACTTATAAGAAAATACTGAGAAATTCTGTTGATATTGCGCTCAGTCAATGATAGCCTCAACATCTATTTTGGACACAAGTTTTTACCTTAAAAAGTTTAAAACTGTTTGTTACAATCTCATTAATTAGTTATTACAAAATGAGGGTTAGTTATTGTAAGCTGTATACAAATTGATAAATAAATCTAAGGACAGGATATTTGATAAACCTAATAAATTTAAAATTTAAGGCTTGAGTTTTAATCATCCATGTTGACATAGCAACTATCGAAATCATACCTTTAACCTAATAAATGTAATCGCTTATGAATACATTTTGTCCGTGCCAAATTTTAGCGTTATACTCGCAACGAGACTTAAATAACACCCCACTGAATGGTTAGGATCCACAACCTATCAAACTCTGTTCAGCCACCTTTATCAGCCACCTTTATCAGTTTCACTGTATAGCGTATTGAATGGGGTGTCTTCTCGGACCGGAAGCCCTTAATTTAGGAGAGAGTGTAGGGTGGCCATGTGCGGTCTACGTTTGTGATACCAACCGAAGTTTTCGTACAAAACATCAAATCCCGTGATCTGGAGCAGTTTAAAAAATTCATTAACTATGTATGCAAGTCTCATTCTGAGAAAGAGTATACATATTTGCTATTTAACGTCTTAACAGGGTGAATTTTTGGAACGGACGCCATTAAAAGGCGATAAGTGGTCTACGTAAGTTTGTGGTACCAAAATTTTTTTCCGCAAAAATCAAATTCCACGCTCGTAGTTTAAAAGTTGTTTAATTCTGTATGCGAAACGAAATCACCGAGGGCAAGATCAACAGTCGCCATTCAATATTATGAATTATCATTCGAAGCAAATTTTTTCTTTCTTTTCATTGGCCGAGAGCCCACCACGTGACCTGCAAATAACTGCCTACAAATAATGGTCTGCTCGCGCGCAATGCCGTCCAACTGTGTTTGGCTTAAGGTGATTCCCTAGTTTTGCACTGCGCATCTCTTACTGCGCATAACCAGATGGCAGCCGTAAAAAAGAGCATGTGAAGTAATCTTATTAAAATGAAGTTAATTGAAGAGAAAAGCTATTGGAATTTTTGCTTGCTGTTGTTTCTTGCCGAGGTGAGACTCAATGTGTTGGGAATGTGCATAACGTAAGCAGTAGGCGTGTTGCTGAGTTCGACCTCTTCTCGGAGAACCTCGATAGTGCATGTTTAACTTGTGCTTACTCACTTTGATTTTCATGTTAACACTTTCTTTATCACATTGTGTCCTAAATGTGACATCTCGATGTAAATTCTGTAAAAACGGATTTTTTAATGCTTTCTTCCCCCTTTCACATACATTCTATTTTGAAACTCGCCCCAGTCCTCTCTCAAAAATCGGAGAAAATGCGTTTGGTGCGCACTTTCTGCAGCTCTACCGCAAAAACGAGTACGGTGACCCCCATTTTTTATTTCTTGATTTTGATAAGGACAGTGCTTCCTTTCGATGAGAAAAAAATTGGCTCAAATCTATGTTCAGTTTTTTGGCAATTTTACTAAATTGTACCGATTGAGCCATCACGGGCCGAAAAGCGCGCGTCCAATTTAATTCTACTTTGGAGCGTAAAGTAAAAACAAGGGCATTAAAAGGCATTTTTCTGGTACGTAAGTGGATAAACAATACATTAAAGTCAAATTCTGTGTGATGTCACATGCATCATCGAAAAAATCTCTCCTTTTTGTCTAGTTTTGCGCTGCCCGCGGTTTTTGTAAAAGGGTCCTAAATAGCCGTATTTGTCAGCATTGTGACGTCAAAACGAGCACGGTGACCCCCACTTTTTATCACTTTTTTATCATCTTCTTGACTTGTTACATCAGTGTACCAAGTTTTAGCTAAAATCTATGTTAGGTTCTTTTACTATGGAATCACCTTAAGTGTTTGGCTGCAAATATTATTCTGCACATGCGTAAAGGAAGCCGTGCTTTTCTCCTTCTTGCGATCGCTCTTGCGTGGAAATTGGCAGATCGCTTCGCTTCCCGAGGATATTCATTAAAAAAACAAACTCGGTGATCGAAAGATAAAACATTTATTGAACTCGGTTATCGCAAAATATCATGATTTGTCGGTGTCTCGCATATCAATTATTTGCCTCAGCCTTCGGCTTCGGCAAACAATTGATCTGCTCGCCACAGACAAATCACGATATTTTGCTCAACCTCGTCCAATAATTGTAAATTGTTTGCTTTGAGGCAGTCGCGCGTGGCAGTCCTCCTGGGCAGTCCTTACTGTCTTGGGAACACCATGTTACAAATCCTGGCTAGCCTTGGGACATTGTATGTTAGTACCGTCTTTCCTAGAATTCGCAATTAGCCCCACGTCCGGTTGTTACTCAGGTTGGGTCAGTCTCAAAGATTCGGAAAAAAAAATACTAAGAGTTATTAGAAATATATTTTCACTTTGCCAGTGTTTTTGGACAACGCTATCGACTTGGACAAAAGAATTCATACGGTTACCAAGGAGACAGGTCACGTGATCAAAAATAGCTTAATCTTACCTCGGAAAAATATGGTACTCTAAATAAGCTTCATACACAATCTTATCCTCCACTAAATCAAATGAAAACTGGCGAGAAAGAAAAAAACTCCCGAAACGAATGCAGTTTATTTCAACATGCCTTTGCATGGTTTCTTTTCAAAGAGCTTCTACAAGAGACACGAGAGAAAGTGCAGAGTGTGTAAAGTCTAAAGTCTATACAGTCAGGATGTTTTAACATTCCTCTCGTACTTGCTTCTGATCGGTGTATGTTGTAAACGTATTCAACGTTATTCATGTAATTCAGACCTAACACTAGGACTGTCTATTCCATTGTGTTCTGAGTTCAGGAAAGTGTATGAATATACATCGATTTAAAAGAGCAATTAACAATCAAACCTATAGTTTTAACTCATAATGTCGTGTCATCTTTTTAGGATCTCTAAAGTAATTTGAAATGACTTCGATTGCTTTGCTTTTGACGCTTGTCAAATCATGTCTTTTTCTGCGAACTGTTGGAGTACAATGCAGTTCAGTCTCTGCCAAACACGTTTCATTTTAACTTTAAGGCAAACATATAAACGGCAATGCGTTTGCGCTATAATTTCGTTTGGACTACTGGATCACAAACACGAGAGAACCTTAAGCAGAAACTTGAACATATACTACCGTTTGTTTATTTACATAGGGTCAACCTCTTAAACTTCCTTTTTAGGGTATTATTTGTATCGTTTATTTCGTATGATACCTTAAATAAAGTATGTATGTGAAGTTAGCACTGCTTCCACTGTTGATTGCTTTTAGATGGGGCCAGATAAAAACACTTTCACTTGAATTCTGACCGCGCTGAACGTACCGAATTTAATACGCCAATTTCCAAATATGATAGCCTACATAACTGATGTTTTTGCAGCTTGAAAAATTAACGTTAACATTTATAATGCAACAACTTTCGCTATGCGTCATCAAGGTCCTTCAATATTAGACGACCGCTAATCCCCCCAATTCTTCCTTCAGAAAAACACGAATGCGTAGCTTGTGGCTTACACTCAAAGACTTTGTGAACCATATATGCGACAGTTATTGCTTTCATGTTCACCACATCCTTGCGCACAACATAATAGAGTTTCCGTCTACACTTTAACCGTGGCTTATGGCCAGACATTTATACTTGATTGTTTGCACACTACTAAGTACCGTCACAAAAGGGAAGTCGAACACTTTCAAGGTTAAACACCCAATGCTACATTTCTTGTACGCTAGCGTAAGTCAAGGAGCCTTGAACTGGCCGTTGTATTAAATGAATTGTAGCACTGTAATATAAATTGAAATTACTGAAAAAATACTTGTTTTAACTGTATATACTTACCGATTGCAGCCTTGGCCAGGCACCAGGCAGGCAGCACGACAGTAAAGAGGTTTCGCTTGAATCACGAAGGGAAAACTATCAAAACGAAAGCAGGAAGTTTGAACATTCCTTGGCGTGGCGTCTGGTTTTATTTTTATTAGTGATTACAGCACATATTTGTTCACGCAATTCCACAGGTCATGGCCAGGGGGTACACTCGAGTAGATTGGAAGGGAGTTGAGGGTCAGGATACCCGGAAATCCCAAATCCCCTATTATTATTATGATTATCATTAATATTGTTGTTATTATTATTATTATCGTTATTATTATTATTATTGTAGAAATAGGAACTGGGATAGCCCAGACTTAATGCACTTTTGATATTTTTTTTTTCTGGCTTTTGTTTTGTTTCTGTTATGTTTTTTGTTTTTTGTTTTTCTTTTTATAAATAATTCAATCTCAAGCAGCATTTGTAAATTGCCTATACGTAGCGAGATTTACAATTGTACATTTAAAAACAAAAGTAAAGTTTCCATTATTATTATTATTATTATTAACTGCGCGACTTGGAAGCAGAGATGCTGAGGATGGTCTGTAATGATGTGGAAGTAGAGCCGGTCCTTCAGGAGGTCACTGGGGAGACATTAAATCATGGCGCTAACAAAGCCCCTGATGCCCGTTTGGATATTCATGCTCGAGGTTTTTGGGACAGAACATTCTTCGACGTTCGGGTGTGTCACCCCAATGCAGACTCTAACAGAGACTTGACTCCTAAGCAAATCTACAAGAAACATGAGAACGAACATGAGAGTAATGGAGATCGAACAGGGAACGTTCACTCCCCTAGTTCTCACGACCACAGGTGGAATGACGGATGAGTGTGCTAAGTACCACAGCAGACTTGCGGAGCTG